TTCTCTTCCTTCTTTCTTTCCTTTCTCTTCCCTTTTTTCCTTTCCTTTTTCTCTTCCTTTCCTTTCCCTTCCCTCTTCCTCTCCTTTCCTTTTTCTTTCTCTCTCTCTTCCTTTCCTTTCTCTTCCTTCTTTCTTTCTTTTCTCTCTTCCTTTCCATTCCTTCTTTCTTTCCTTTCCTTTCTCTCTTCCTTTCCTTCCCCTTCCTTTCCTTTCTCTTCCTTTCTTTCCTTTCCTTTCTCTCTTCCTTTCCTTCCCCTTCCCTCTTCCTTTCCCTCTTCCTTTCCTTTCCCTACCCCCTTCCTTTCCTTTCCTGTTTCCTTTCCTTTCTCTCTTCCTTTCCTTTTCCTTCCCTTCCTTTCCCCTTTTCTCTCCTCCCCCTCCTTTCTTTTCATTTCTCCTTTCTTTTCTCCCCTCCCCTCTCCCCTTTCTTTTCATTTTTCTTTCCTTTTGACCTCCCCTCTCCTAACTCTGACCCAAAGCGGAGAAGATCATTCACCTGAATTAGACCCAAGATACCTTTTGCTAGGGGAGCCTTCCCTCCCTCGCGGCCTCGTCTGTGGGATAAGTTTCCTGCCTCTGCAAGAAGCGCAAAAATAGATCGGGTGGAACCTCTGCACGTCACTGCTGGATTTTGAGTAGGCCTACGGCGTCTCCTGCCTGAGCAAGGGGGTTGGATGAGAACAGGGGTCGCCAACCAGGGAGTCGGGGACCACCAGTGGTCCATGAGAAAATTTTGATGGTCTGCAGAGAAATGTCACCCCCAAAGCAATTAATCCAGGCTGCGCGGAAACACAAGGCTTGCGTCACTTGCATTGCGAACCACACGAGGTAGTGAGAGGAGGGGGGAAACGGGCAGAGGGGGGGGGGAAATTGCCCCACTTGCCGCACGCACCTGGCCTGGCCACCGGGCTGCTTCTTTCTGCTTCTCTCTTCTTCCTTTGGCTGCACGCAAGGAAAGCAGCCAAAGTCTTTCTTTCTCTCCCCCAAACTCCGCCAGAAATGAGTCTTTGGGACCCTGCAAGGCCTCCTGCTCCAAGAGGCTGCGCCTGTGCGACCAGTCTCACAAAGACTCGTTTCTGGCAGAGTTTGGGGGAGAGAAAGAAAGATTTCTGCTGCTTCTGCTGCTTTCCTTGCAGGAAGCCAAACGTTTGCACTTCCTGTCTCAGTTCAAGCAGACTTTCTGAACTCTAAATTCCTCCCCGTCTCTTCCTTCACTCGGCCACTTCCAGTTTTTCTGATCTGGCTGGAAACTCCAAAATTACACACTTTATAAATGGACACTGACAAAAACGCACACAAGACCACAGTAGCTGTCTCTCTCTCTCTCTCTCTCTCTCTCTCTCTCTCATGCCCTCGGTTGAACCGGACTTGCATATGTGCCTGAAGGCAGGCAAACTGTGATACTGGTAAAATCCCCTGCCGTGCACGAAGGCACAACTTAATTTAAAAGCACAGGAATGGTTAGTGTGCCAAAAAAAGAGGGAGATTTACTCCACCAAGTATTTAAAGAGAAGACACGACAACAGCGGTGGCTAAACTTTTGGGGCTCCTGTGCTGAAAATTGCATGCGTGCATGTGCTCACTCTCGTTCTGCCAGCACCCAGATGGCAATGTGCACGGGGCCCCCATGCTCTCTGTGCAGGCGTGCACGTTTCCCCCGCCGCCGCTTTACCTGCACTGGGCATGCGAGTGCCTCCAAGCTGATTTTCGGCCCGTTTTGAGGCGGCCTCCCAGAGGCTCAAGGGAAGCCTCTGCAGCCTTTGCAGGCTGAAAAATGGGGCCATTTAGTCACTTCCAGTATTTCCAGAAATGCAGGTCACTAAACGAACAGGTCATAAGTTGAGGATCACCTGTACACCAGCCGTTCTTCTAAACTCTTGCCTTGTGCTCTTCCTTGCAGCGGGGGACTCGGTGGCTCTTAAAGACTCAGGGGTCATGAACTGAAATTGAATTTCAATGATGACACTAATGGATTTGGAGAGGTTCATGCTTGGACGCCGGAACCAGGATATGACGCAGTGCAGCTAAGAACCCTTGGAAGTTCACATTGGAAAAAAAATTGAACCCACCTGTCCACGTATAAGTATAACCATTGTTTATATCTCCTTTCATGTCTTGCTATGCATGAAATGTAGCATCACGATATGGTACAATATTATTTTTCTCCCTCCTTTTGCATCCTTCGATGTGTCTCTTGCATTGTTTAAAATCCCCAGTGAACATGGCACGTTGCATCTGCTGAGCTTTAGAAGCAGGACTTAATTCCATTGTTCTCTTCTGCCCAGGTGGCTCTGGATACATTTCTACCCTTCTCTCTCTCTCTCTCTCTCTCTCTCTCTCTCTCTCTCTCTCTCTCTTTTCTTTCTTTTTTTCTTCATTAAGCAAATCCGTGCATCTTTACTATAAACATGCCCTGTCGGAATTATATTTTAGTTTAAGACTTGCCGAATTCTTCTGAGCCTTGTGAGTTGTAGATACATTTATTTGCCACCTAGCTAGGTGCATTTATAGCATTCTTCTCTCTGCTTTGTAAAAGAAAATGTTTGTAGGTCACATGGGATCAAATTCTTCCTTTCTGGTGCTCCCTTAAAAAAAAAAAAATACGGTACAGAACATATAACTTGCCAAGCACGTGAAAAACTTGGAGACTTTCACCCACAATGCCTTAAAAATCATGGGTAGAACATTACATGCCCATCTTTTCTAAAAGAAATTTCTAAATTTCTTTCTAAAAAAATCAGTCATGGGTTGTTGGGGTTTTTTGGTTGTCACCGTGTTTTCTATCCAATTTAAGCTCTGTTCAGTTGAGAGAACAATGATATAAATCCTCAAAGGTTTTTATAGGCATCATGACACTAATTTTCTGGACCGTTTTTGTAATAAATGGAATCAACCTGACAAAAATGTGTGGGTTTTCCTGTCTGGTTTTTTTTTCGGGGGGGGGGGGGGGGGGGGGGGGGGGGGGGGAGTGTTTGGGCGAGAGAGAACCTATGGGTGAAATCTCTAGAGCTTTGAACAACGATGGGAAGATAAGTAGTTAGCAGTGTCTTTTCTTGAAATCCGATGTATTTTGGAAAAGAAATCAAACAGGGCTGGAGTAGGCCAGGCAGGGATACAGGTAATCTTCAACTTACGAACACAATTGAGATCAGAATAACAGAATTGGAAGGACCCTTAGAGATCATCCAGTCTAACCCCCTATTCAAGCAAATTCGATGGGAGAAAAAATAAGGCATAAAATCAGATGTGGTCACGACTTACCACCAAATGTCCGACTCAATTATGGTCGTAAGTTACCTGGATTTTTTAAGGCTGGCTGGGCACATCTGGAATATCGGGAGCGAACAGATGCTCTTAGAAAAGTGATGCACAAATGGCTTGTTCAGATGTCACGGTGACGGACATAGAAAATCATCCAGTATTCCTGTTTGAGCTGGAAATAATAGCGGTAACTTTTACTTTTTACTTTATTGTCATTGCACCTCGTACAACGAAATTGAATGCCATCTTCAGCGTACATTATACATAAAAAACAAAACACCCCTCCTTCACATTCTATACAACTGAATTGAAAACCCCTGATATAGCATTAATATTGCACCATGCAGTAGCATTCAGTGTAGTTACTGCTCTGGGATATAGAAGCTGTTTAACAAATGGCACATGGATTTATGTGGTGCCTCTTTTAAAGCATGAGATCCAAATATCTTTTTTTTAACAATAATTTTAATTGTTCTTTTTCACCTTTTACACACCTCTTAATTTTAACAATACCATGTCATTATTATACAAATTATTATACAAACCAATCTCATGTAAATATCTATATATACCTTTATATACATTCATATACATTTATCTATAATTTTCTTATCTCCTTTATCCTTATTTCTATTGTTTAACCATTTATACCAATTACCCCAAATTTCGTAATATTCCGACTCTTCTTTATCTTTTAATTTTAATGTCAATTTATCAATTTCAGCACAATCTAGAATTTTTTGAATGACTAATTCCTCCGAGGGCATGTTATTTTGTTTCCAACATTGTGCATGTGCTATCCTTGTTGCTGTCAAAATATATAATAAAATATATTTAATCTTTTTCCTATATTTCCCTTTAATAATTCCCAACAGAAACAACTCCGATTTAAATTCTATTTGATCTTCCACTATTTCTTGTATGCAACTCCATATTTTGGTTCAGTATTTTTGGGCTTCTGGGCATGACCACCACATATGATAGAAGGTACCTTCGGACCCAAATATCTTAAAGCATGGGACCCAAAGACATTATACTTACAAATCAATTCAGTAAAATTCCCTTACTCCCATTGTATTAACGCTCAAACATTCAGTTCAACAAGGCATTTAAATAAATGCCCAAGGATAGGTCTGTTCGTCTAGACAACCATCATAATGAGAGGTGTTACCCTGCAGCTGTCAGCTAAATAAAGAATAGGTGGAATAACACAACCTTATAGTAACCTACTAATCAAATTAAAAACTCCATCACCCAGTCTACTTCTACCCTCCCCAGTGTGCCCTTTTTAATGGATATTTTTATGGACATTGATTCCTACAAAGCTTTGGGTTGTAATTATATATATAAAATAAGGTCAGGTCTTATTTGTTTTTTGAGCCCTGAAAAAATGGCTAGGGTGTCTTTTTGGGGGTGTCTTAATTCCCCCCCCCCCTTGCATCTTTGGGTGGGCAGGCGGCGACGGCTTGGATGTTGACCTCAGCGTTGGTGGGGCACTTTGTATCGGGGTCAACGCAGGCAGCATCATATCCAGGTGTGCAACAAAAGTACTTCCTAATGGCAAGCCCCCCCACCATTCCCCCCCCATTTCGCATGTTTTAATATAGGCCTTAATTTGTGGGGAGGGGCTTAATTTCATTTCATGCCTATAAAACATGCTGGGACTTTGTATTGGGGGAGGCCGTATTGTTGGAGAAACAGGGTGTATCTCTCTATCTATCTATCTATCTATCTATCTATCTATCTATCTACACCCTGTTTCTCTCTCTATATATATATGCGAAATGCCACTCACGCATCATCACAAAATCTCCAGAACCGTAAAGCCTACAAACTTGAAATTTGGCGTGTATGTTCCTCTTGGCTTCTAGATGCTCACTTTTCAAAATGACCATCAGAGCTATTAGTATTTTGTTATATTATTATTATTATTAACATGCCCTGATGCTAAGGAGTTCTACTCCCCCTCCCCACCAGAAAAGAAATCTCTTCCAAATGCAAAACACAAGCAGAGGAGAGGAGTTTCAGTTTCCGAGCACCAAGCAGCTTTAGTACAGAACAGTTGAGCTAAGCCACGCCCAGGCTCCTTGCTGTCTCTTTGCTCACACAGCGAATACTAGTTCAGTTTCCAAACAGCCCTCAACTCTCACACGCGGACAGGACACTAGCCAAATGAATACCGATGGATGCTGGCAGGCAGAGGCACAATTTTTCCCCCTTATTTTCCTCCCCAAAAACTAAGCCCAATCACATAGTTTCGTAGCGAAGCACGGGTATCGAGCTAGTTGTCCGTAATGGTTATTTCTTAAAGGGGGCTTGATGGACCTCCAAGGGAGAGGATACCTTGGGGGGGTGTGGGAGACAGGGACCTCGCCTTGTATTATGCCAGTTTCCTGGCACTCATATAGCCACATGTGCCAGAGAGCAATTGCCAGCAGGCAGGACCTGGCCAAGGTTTACTTGCTTCCAGCACACCGGCGGAAGTTTTAACAAGGAGAGAATATTTCTAGCTCAGGGTTCCCTTGGTGCTCTCTGAGCATGCTGAAGTTTCATGACCCAACTAGGTAACATCATCAGTGCTCGGGAGAGTAAGGTGTGCAGAGGAGGAGAAGCGAGGAGGAGGACTGTGGGGTCCTCGGTCCTCTCCGAGCCCGGTGGTTTTCTCGCAGACCTTTCATGACCCAACTCGGTAACAACATCAGTGCTAAAACAATGCACAGTCCCAGGGAATTTTAGGCGTGGGAAAAACCAAAGGGGTTGTGCGGATGTTTTTTAAAATTTTGAGGTGAGGACCAACGGGGAAACTCTTTCCTGTTTTGAGAGGCTGGGTAGGGGCTGTACCCCAAGCATACCCCTCCACACCCCTCCAACTCCCCGAATGCCCACCCTGCCACAAATTCCCGCTAATACCATCACCCCAGCTCTGCGGGAACGAGAGAGAGAGAGAGAGAGGCTGATTTACCTTTGACTGGTCCCGGAGGCTTGGCTGGCAGCCTTTCAGCCAAATCATGAGGACTAGCGCCTGGAATGACCTGGATTGCAGCGCGAGGATGTTGTCTTCTGCAGTTTTCATCCTTCGGAGCCTGGGGGGGTGGGTGGGAGGGGAATCTGCTGGGAAGAGAAGGGGGGGGGGTGATCGGGCACAGATCGGCCGGCTCGAGCCTGGGGTTTTGATTGGCTGCCGGCGACAGATTGGGCGGAGCCAGGCCTCCTTTGGCTCCGCCTCCCCCCTTTTCTATTGCACACATTCCCCCCCTCCCAACTCCCATCTTCACTCCGCGGAGCTCTCCGTTTCTCCGCTGCTTGCAACCTTCCGCGGAGCCTCGGTTTGCAAACGTCGGGAGGGCGGCCCGACCCGGATTGCAGGGGAAGGGGGCGGGTGGGGAGGAGGAGGCAGCCGCCACCCCTAAATCCAAGGAAGCCCCGCACCCTCTTTGTGGGGTGAGGGGGGGCGAGCCGAGGGTCTTCGAGATGAGCACAGCCCTGCGGTACAAGAGCAAGCTAGTCAACCCAGGTGAGCTATTTTTTTGGGGGGGGGGGGGCTTGGATGGGAGAATAAGGTGCGTTTTTGCAACCTGCCTGCCTTTTTTGGGGGGGTGGGGGGAAGAGGGGCTTTTGAGTCTCAGGCGATTGTGTTTTTTCTTTCTTCTTCTTCTAATTTTGGCTTCTTCTTCGTCTTTTTCTCTCTTCCTCCTCTCCTCTCTCATCCACCCGCGTCTGCCCGTCTGGATTTCTCTCCCGTAGAAGAAAAGCAGGTAAGTTGACTCCCTTATTCTCTCTCTCTCTCTTTCCCCTTTGGCATCCCAGATGATGCTAAAGGAAAGGGGGGGGCACTTGCATTTCCTCGGCTGCTTCAAGGGAGGACAAGCGGAGGGCCCCCCCTCCTCCTCTCTCTTCCCTCCTCTCCCCCCCAGCCCCTCAATTTTACAGAGACCCCCATAAGGCGAGTAAAACCCCAGCTTTCCTGAAAGATGAATAGCAAACACCCGCATACAGACCCAGCGCTTGAGAATATCGGTTTCGGCTGCTTGCGGGGAAAGCAGGCTTTTTATAAGGGGGGGGGGCGCGTTTGCAAAGACTAAGGCCTGTCCTTTGATTGGCAGCTAGCGACCCTTGATGGGGCTAACTCCTTTGCCCATGTGCTGCCAGGGGGCCAAGCTAAGCCATACCACATTCTGATCAATTCCTTCTCTTCTGGAGAGTCATTGGTGAGATTTCAAAGCGGCCTCCCTCCTTAGGGTCTGAGGGTTTCTTTCCCCCCCCCCCCCCGCCGCCCCACCTCCTTCAGCATCCTTTTGGCGTGCCCAGTTTTCGTTCCCCCCAGGGATGCTGCTTAGGGTGTGTGTTTGTGCAGGGGTGGGGTGGGGTGGGGGGGGAAACTAGGGTGATGTAATTCCGTGGCAAGCAGGGAGGAAGATTGTTTATCTGCAATTTGGCTGGCTGGCTGGCTGGAGCTTTGTGCAGCCCGATCAGTTTGCAGGGATGGAGAGAGAGAGAGAGAGAGAGAGAAGAGAAGAGAGGGACGGAGAGAGAGAGAGTATGAGAGAGAGAGAGAGAGACAGAGAGAAAAGAGAAAGAGTGACAGAGA